CCACTGTGTTGGGCCCTCGTGATGGTGTGGGGGGGAGGGGGGAGAGCCTTGCCAGAGATAAAGAGTAAAGGCACACTCTCTCATGCTGATTTCGTTTTTGCGTTCTTTTTTATACAGATATTTCTATTGTTTGATTATTTTTTTCAACAGAAACTCTTTCACCTTCTCAGATTTTGATCAGTCATCTGCTAATTTTTCTTTAAAATTGCAATGTTTGGACTTGGCACATGTGGACAGCTAGCCAATGATAGTCTAAGCATATGTGAGGCATCGTGGTGAAATCAGGCACTTGTCAAAATAATGATATTGAAAAAAACGGGCCTTTTTCTGCAGTTTTTTAATCAAATTTTTTATTTTTGGCTTAACATCGTTTTTGTCCGATTAAGAACACATTTCTGTATTGATTTTACTGAAGAAAAAAAAAAGTTGATTAAAGGCTTTAAAAAGTCAGTTTTCATTTTCCGCTGACTATCATGCTATGGAAATAACTAAACTTTGGCGGCCATTTTCTCACTATTTCTACCTTTGAAACCAGGCGACCCCACCTTCTTCCATCTCAAATATCTTGACTTCTATTCAAGATAGATGGCCATTTTCTTTTCACTAATAGCAGGACGACTGAAATAGCTTTAAGATGATACGATTAACTCCACATGTCCAAAAATTGACGAGCGCCCGATTCCGTCACGTCGTGACACATATTTCCTCGGCTACTCAACTCAGAACTTTTTCTCACCGCGAAAAAAGAAACTTACTACTTACTCTGACCCATCTTTCACACTCCAACCACTCAACACACATGCTCATTTTTTTTACATTCTTTTCAATAGTTTTGTTTTGTTTTGTTTTTTACTGAGTTTTTGTTTAATTTTTTTTTACAGAGTTTATTTTTCGTTGTTGGTGCCATCTTCCCAGGCACACACTTGAGTAAACACACACTTTCTCGTGCTGATTTCTTTTTGCGTTCTTTTTTAAACAGATATTTCTATTGTTTGGTTTTTATTTTCTACAGAAACTTTTTCACCTTCTCTGATTTTGATCAGTCATCTTCTTTTAGAGCCCTGGATGTTACATGAATCATGCTTGGCACACATTCACATACACACATACACAATAATTGCGCTCAAACACATACGTACACATATGCACACATACACACACTCACACAAACTCACACTCGCACACACACACCTCTTTTCTTTGTGTGTTACTCTCTAGTAGCACTTCTAGTCTTCGGCAGTTCATTGACCAACTCATGTTGCAAGTGCTGTACATTTCTGACTAAAACCAAAACCATGTGGCTCGCCATACTTCCACCACCTCCTCATTTTATCCATTTGGTCATTTCTTGGCTTGGAAGTTGTTGTTTTGTTTTGTTTTTTTTCCTCCTGTGAATGCCCATGCTACTTCTTGCACTGACAATAAATTTCTCTTTTTCTTCTTCTTCTTTTCTTTTTGACCCTTTTTTTTTTTTTTGTGGCACGACACCTCTCCTCCCTACCCCACCCCCTATGACAATAAAACTTGATCCAAGCAACAAATGAGACTTGTCTGGTAAGTGTTGAAGTGTGTTGAAGTGAGGCCTGTCTTTTATTATTACGCATTTTTCTCACGCTCTTCTTCCTGAAAATTAATCAAATTATAACCAGCCACCAAACTTCACCCCACGACGCTATCGAATGGGTAAGATTGCAGCAGGGACCTGTCTCGATTGGATGCTTGAAAAATAATATCACGCCAGCGTAGAAAGTTATCAAATCCGTAGAAGCAGTACATTCCAACTCGCAGTTTAAGGTTATGGTCATCAGCTGACCTTACTTAAGAAATTTCGTTTACCATCTACGAAACTTAAAACAATGGGTGAAAAGGCATTTGTGTATATATATATGAAGAGCACCGGGGAAAAACGACAGTTGTCACAAACTCGAAATTGTGAGGGTACCACTTTTAAAAGCTTGTGGATTCAGAACCTTATATTTGTCTGACTGGTGGTTTATTATTAAGAGTTGTTAAATGGGAAATCTAACAACAATTATCAACCAACAGTTGAACAGAAATACAGTTATGAGTCAACAAGCATTCAAAATTGGTACCCTCACGATTTTCAGTTTGTGACTACCGTCGTTTTTCCCCTTTAGTCTTCATATATATATATTGTATATATTGTATATATTGTATATATTGTATATATTGTTGCTATTGTATTTGAAAGCGCTGAGAGGCTGTGTTCTTTCATTGTGATTGAGCCCTATAGAAAAGGTGGCATCGGTGGCTTAGTGGCTAGGCTTCAGGACTTGTAATCATGAAATTGCGGGTTCATGGTCTGAGTCTCAGCTCGGTCCGATGTTGTGTCCTTGGGAAAGGCACTTTACACGAATTTCCCACCACATGGGTAGAGTCTGGGGGGTGCAGGTGTTGAAAATTTGACGGCTATTGTTATGAATTTTTTCTCCTGTGCTGCTTTCTTACTCATTCCCACGATATATATATATATAGATCTATGTATAGAAATAGATATATATATATGATGTACATATCTCCAAGGAGATTTCGCCCTGATGGCTTTGTCTGCACTCTGCTCTCCACCACTGCCACCAGGGTAGACAATTGCAGGTTTCTACGCTTTTTTTTGTTTTGTTTTGGTTGTTTGTTTTTTAAATTTTTGCTGTGGTGTTTGCATTGTGCTGAGACCGGTGTGTGTGTGTGCTGCTGGTAGCTATGTGGGGCGACCGGTGTGTGTGTGTGCTACTGGTAGCTATGTGGGGTGACCGGTGTGTGTGTGTGCTGCTGGTAGCTATGTGGGGCGACCGGTGTGTGTGTGTGCTACTGGTAGCTATGTGGGGCGACCGGTGTGTGTATGTGCTACTGGTAGCTGTGTGTGTGCTACTGGTAGCTGTGTGGGGTGACCGGTGTGTGTGGGGCGACCGGTGTGTGTGTGCTACTGGTGTTTGCATTGTGCTGAGACCGGTGTGTGTGTGTGTGCTACTGGTAGCTATGTGGGGCGACCGGTGTGTGTGTGTGCTACTGGTAGCTATGTGGGGCGACCGGTGTGTGTGTGTGCTACTGGTAGCTATGTGGGGCGACCGGTGTGTGTGTGTGCTACTGGTAGCTGTGTGGGGTGACCGGTGTGTGTGGGGCGACCGGTGTGTGTGTGCTACTGGTGGTTGTGTGGGGCGACCGGTGTGTGTGTGCTACTGGTGGTTGTGTGGGGCGACCGGTGTGTGTGTGCTACTGGTGGTTGTGTGGGGCGACCGGTGTGTGTGTGCTACTGGTGGTTGTGTGGGGCGACCGGTGTGTGTGTGCTACTGGTGGTTGTGTGGGGCGACTGGTGTGTGTGTGTGCTACTGGTAGGTAGCTATGTGGGGCGACCAGTGTGTGCGTGTGTGCTACTGGTAGTTGTGTGTGTGCTACTGGTGGTTGTGTGGGGCGAACGGTGTTTGTGTGTGCTACTGGTGCTTGTGTGGGGCGACCAGTGTGTGGGGCGACCGGTGTGTGTGTGCTACTGGTGGTTGTGTGGGGCGGCTGCTGTCGGTGTGTGCTGAGACTGATGTGTGTTTGTGTGGGTATGTATGTGTGCTCTGCTCGCTAAAGTGACTGTGAGCTCAACAGGAGCAGCAGTGAGGATAGAAGATAGAAGTAACAGTGTAACGGTAAGGGCGAAAGTAACAACAAGGAAAGAAGAATAACGAGAGCTAAACTAACAATAGCAAAGTTACGGTATGGGTAAAAGTAGCAAAAAGGAGTGAAAGTAACAAGTAATAAATAAGCAAAAGTATCTACGGACACTGTAACAATAAGGGCTTAGTAACGATGTGTGCAAACTTTACAATAATAGCATAGTAACACAAAAGAATGTAACAATAATAGCAAAAGTAACATTAACGACATAATAATAATGAGGGCAAAAGTAACAATGATACCATAATAACAATGAGGGCAAAAAGGTGGACAAAAGTAACAATAATAATACCATAATAACAATAAGGGTAAAATTAACAATAATATCAAAGTGTCAATGAGGGCGAAAGTAACAATGATCATAGCAAAGTAACAATGAGAGTGAAAGAGGCTCTTTGTATGAATGTTCTCGTTTGACTTTTTCCTATCGAAGATGAACGTTGTTAAGTTACGTTATATAACCTTATTGTACGGCACTTTTGTGACCTTATTGTGTTGCAAGTGCCGTAAAACTCTTACTAAAACAAATGACCTATATATAGTAGTGTTGAATGAAAGGGGGCGGGCGTAAAAGCTATACAATTTGGCATTTCTTTCTCTCGTATGTACGGGCTGACAACTTGTCTTCAGCTGGCTCAAGGCTGAAGCTTTGTCTTATGTTCTCTATTGTATCTTTCTTCTCTTCTACACGTAATTTTCTCCTTGACTTTGTCTTGAACACTATTTTTATTTCTTTTGTTTTGTTGTTTTTTTTTCTGTTTTTTTTTTTAAAAGATGGGATCAAGGTTTTTCATTTCCTTCTATTTGGTTGGGTCAAGTGTGATTAATTTTCTTCAGTTTACTCGGACCATTTGTAAGTGATAGGGGTAACAGTCTTTTTACAGGAATTTCTTGTGTGTGTGTGTGTGTGTGTGTGTGTGTGTGTGTGTGTGTGTGTGTGTCCTTAAGAGGGGTGGGGGTGAGGTGAGGGATCATCCTAGCAAAGAACTGTTTGCTACTGATGTCTGGTGCCACAGTTGCACGCATGGGTGATTGGCGGGTGCTCTGGTGTGGTTTGCTGCTTCTTTCCTATCAAACAACTATCGTCTTTATGTCTCCTCCTTCTTTATTGTGTATCTTACTCTCTAGTAACACATCTATTCTTTGGCACTTATATGACCTTATTGTGTTGCAAGTGTGGTAAAACACTTACTAAAACTAAGTTTGGCTGTGGCATGCAGGAGACCTGCGTTTGATTCCCAAATGGGGAGAAAATTTTTATTAAATATCTCTGTCTCTCTGTTGGGATGTTGTATCCCTCTCAGTCCTGATAGGCACAGTCAGAAGTCCCATTTTTTAATGATTGAAACTGTGTGGATGGGGAGGTAATAATCTCCTACAGTAAAAAAAAAAAAAGAAATGTTTGCCCTACTGTGTAGATTGTTTGCTTTGAATTGAATGTAAAAGTTTGTGTGTGTGTGTGTGTGTGTGTGGATTCCTCAAGACTGTTTTAGTATAGACATGGTCGTAGTTCAGTTGTTTTTAGCTGTTTATAAAAAAAGAAAAGTTTTTCGTAGTGACTTTTTTTGTAGCTGGCTCTTTTATTTTATTTTTAATTTTGACACTTTTTAAAAATTTGGTTTTTTAAAAATATTGAATAGTATTGCCGAACCTGCTCTAACGGCCACCTGTTTTAAAACAATTACCTGTACAAATGGCCGCCTCTGATGCGTTTCTTTTACATTATAATGACAGGGTGTTGTGAAGCATTCACCTGTCTAAGACAGCCACCCGCTGCTTTCCTGGTTCCACCTGTCTGTCTAAGACAACCACCACTTTCCTGGTTCCACTTGTCTGTCTAAGACAACCACTACTTTTCTCCTCAACAATGGGTGGCTGTGTTAGACAGTTTCCCCTGTATTTGACTGTGTTTTTAGTAACGGCTTCGCCCTGGCTTTGTTTGCATTTTGCTTTTGTTTTTTGTTTTTTTGTTGGGTTTTTTTTCACGTTTAATTATTCTTCAACCATCTCCAAATCCTGCCCCTCCTTCCCCC